CCGCCGAAAGCCCTGGGCACTTGTCAGTGCATGGGCGCGGCTGCAGTCGCGCAAACCTGCTTGGTAGTGGCAGGCGATGCAGACCTCGGATTGCTCAGCTTGGTGCCGAGTGCCAGCTTTGCTCTTCAGCAGAAAGGCAAATGGGGCAAGCAAGCTTTGTGCCCCCTCCCCCTCACATGCCCTGAAGAGACATGTTCTCCCGGCCTGTCATCCCGAAAGCTTGGGCAGGATGTCCAGTAGAAGGGTACAAGCTCTAAACACGGGGTGCACGCCCATAGTTTGAGGACGAGATCCCAGAAAGCCCATCCTCTTGAAGATGACTTTTTCACCCCAAGCTGCCCCCACGAGGGGGAAGCTTGGATGCGGGGGCATTGGGGGCATTGGAGAGTCACACCTGAGGTCAACGGATTGCACAAGCGGGTTCAAGAACTTCCCTCAAAGGAATATCCTAGCACTTGACAACCCAACAAAACAAAGAGCCAACTAAACACTCACCTACCCGCCCTACCTACCTACATACCCTTCCAACCAAACAAACATGAACATTTGATGGCACGAGATTGCAGGGCAGTCGGAGTTTTTGACTTTGGCTGCGAAATGCGCAGGTGCCTGAAGTCACAGAGAAGCCACAGGCCAGCGGATCGCTCGGTTTTGGGCGCTTAAAAAGGCGGTCCCTAGATCCGCCTTTTGGATCTTTCGTTTTTCAGGCTGTGTTTGAACTTCGAGGATTTGTTAGTTTCAATTGAGGATATGTCAAGAATTCTTTTGTGGGAGGATTCCCCTACTATCATAGACTACAGAAAAAAGGGTACCCTTATTCTAACCTCTCTACTGGAGGACCTATAAAATTCATGACTGGTTGATGTATGTAGGTATAGTCAATGTCTGACAGATGTCCGTGTCATGTGCAGGTCCTTTGGGCTGCCTTCTTGTCTTCATGCTGTCTGTTTTTTACTCCCTGGATTTTGGTATTCTGGGATCAGACAGAAAGGAGGTTCCATAAAACAGGATTGTGTTAGATGTTATCTTCATCTACAGGACTGCGCTTTGTTTTGGCCTTGCTCCCGTTTGCGGCAGGGGTCCTCTACTAGAGCCAAGCTCTGCATGTGCTCCGCTGCTCCGCGAGTTGCGTTCTGGCTTCGAATTTTGTGGTACCGTTTTGGCAAACAGAAATACATGTTTTGGCCACAGGCAGTGAGCCTTAGAGAAATGGAAGGAGCAGGAACGCTGACCTCACTGTTCTTGGCATGCCTTTTTTTGTGTTTTGGTTCTCTTCGTGTTTCCTGGGGGGGGGGGCCGCAAAACAACACAGTTTTTTTGCTTCCATACCAAGAGTATGAACTATAACGACCACACGACCTCACCCCAAATGGTGGTTTATGTGGGGAATAGCCCCCCGACCACCTTATTTCAGGTTGGTATAATATTATCCTTCACCCAGTAACGTGTCATGTCTGGATGGGCAGAACTTGAGGTTTCGGAAGGCGGTGGATGTTTTCAATGCTGCGAGGTGCGGTGATCCCGCTCAAGGGCACATGGCAGTTCACCAGGTCGACTTGCTCCATTGACCTTTCAGGGAATCTGAATCAAATCGGTGGAGGACCTACTGTACTTAGCTGGGTGATCTTTTTTGATTTTCGCGTACAAAAGCCAAGTTTTGCCACGCCCTTATGCCGTTGAGACTTCAGACCCGAAGAGGTAACGTATCCAAGGCTGACTGTGTAATCTGTCCTTATTCAATCCCATACCGTTTTGGAACTCTTTGGTGATTGACTTCCAGAGTAAAGCCACACTCAATGGGTGATTGACCAATACACCAGGAGTTCGTACCAAAATCCAAACATATTTGATACACTCAGCCTTACAGAAGTCGAGGCGGTACCCTCCAATAAAGGGACAGCCCCATGTTCCTTTTCAGCAAATTGTAGCGTGCGATTTTCACCGATGTGGAGGGAAGACGAACCCGGCCCCATGAACGAGGATTCCTCATCCCTTTTGGGAGTTGTAAGTTGTCTAGATGGACCCTCTTCAATTCTGAAGTGATGTCCGCCATAAAGGTTTTCAATCAAACTTGCCTTGTTCCGACTGTGGATGGTCGAAATCCTGCACCACAAAATAAACTTTGGGAAACCCATTCGTATTTACAAGGGAAGTATCATTCTTTGAAGGTGCGAAATGGATTTCGTCCATCCACAGAATGGTAGCTGAGCCCAAACGAAGCTTTGATCATTTCCGGCCAGGCTGAGCCAGAGACAGAGACGGAGACTGTGGCGACCCAGGCCAGGGCCAAGCACCTGGCGTGTTTTGTTGCTAGAGGTTGCCGTGTGTTGTTTGCAATACGACGTAGGGTGTAAGCGAGCCGTTTTAGGGTTGCGGTATGAGGTGTATTATATTCAAAACATTACTTTTCTAGCTGTACCGTCAGTGTACCGTCCCCATTCTCTTCAGGGATCCTTCTCTTCAAACAATGGGCAAAACCCTGGTGGTTTCTCAAGAGAACGATGGGTGAAGAGATTGCGGAATCAAACCTTAGAACTTTCGTTTCATGGTGACAACAACACAACGCACGATCCATGATATTTGGGGGGGGGGGGGCAACTTGCATTCAAGTTACCATGGCTTCCTGCTCTTGAAGGGGTCGATGGCATACCGCACGATGTCACAAGCATGTGTTCACGTCATGGGGTCGGTTACCCTTTCCAGGGCTTTACCACCCTCGTAGGTATTTTACCCTCGTACCGGTATCCTTGGTGTATAGCGTTGTATACTGACATATTGTTTGCCGACACTATGTCAGAGCTCAATTTCCGGAATGCATCAACTCTTGCCGCTAGGCTTCATTCTGAACGCCTGATATTGTTTATGCTCGATGTGGCTATCCTTTGTGCACATCATGTATTTCTCGACAGTTCCCAGCCACACGTTCAGACGTTCAGCTTTTTCGAGTTCCAAGATCTTTGTTGTAGCTCCCACTCAAATTTAAACTGTTAGAAATTTGAATATGGCATTCCCACCTTTATCTTGGTGGCTCCCAGCCATCCCCTTAGCTTTTTAGCTTTTTAGTGTTTAGTGGTAATTGTCCATTTACATTTATTGTGGTTTAATTTTGACCCATACCCAATTGGTGGGAGGGTAAATGGGTATGGGCCAAAATTAAACCATCAGGGGACCGCTGGTGTTTGCCCACCTTATAAACAATGGCCTGCACTCCCGCCTTTATATATAAACCAAATGCCCGGTTGTATAACCCACATGGCTGTGGGTCAGAAATAGGTACCCAAAATGGAACCCTGGTAAGTGGAAACGTGGACCAAAACCCGCGGGCATATCCTGGTGGTTTAATTTTGACCCATACCCTGGTGTACTGAACAAAGTGGCCCCAGCATAGGCGTCCTTTTAGGGGAAATAGATGGGTTTGGTAGATGATGAAACCACCAGGTAAACCCGGAATCGGAACCCATCTATTTTTCCACCAAAACAACTAAAAAGGACACCTATGGTCTGAACCTTTTGCTTACCAAACTGGATGATCAAACCCGGGCCATCCATTTTCCCCTTCCTTCGAGAAACTCGATGCGCCGCGAAGTTTGGAGGCCGGCGTGGAGGAGCTGCAGGCGACAAGGGACAGCGCTTGGCTGACTTGCTGGTTTTAGGCAGTCTGAAACGAGTTTTGTTCGTGGCTTCAATGTGTTTCCCTTTGAAATCAAAGTCCAACAAGAAGGTAGTTATGCACATATATATATATATATATACATAAAAAACATATAGAAATATATATATATATAATATATATTCTTATCTTCAAGTGCCAACCAAAAGGTATATATGTTATATATGTATATATATATATAAGCTTTGTTATCCCTTCACAGGGGGCGCAAGATGATCCCCTTATCTGACGCTTAGCCGAGGCTGGGCCTGGATGCCTCCAGAGCGTAGGTTTCTTTAGCCGCTTGGGAGCTGCCATACGCCAAGCGTTGGAGTGACAGCATTTCTCCTTGCTGGTGCGATAGGCTTACCCCTAAAAACCATCTATTGTGGCTTCCTTTTGGGGAATCCCCAATTTCATTCCCTCATTCCCTGCTGAGCACCAGCAAGTCTTCCGCGAACTGTTCCCACTCATTTGAGTCATGGCCTTGCACAGACATATCTGATATCAAAGTGAGCGAGCTAGGTTTGGAAGTTCACTTGACCTTGGATTTGGTGTCCTTAGTTTTCTTCGTGATTTCGGTCGGGCCAAAGATTTAGTGGTGAACTTAGGGTGGCAAGGGGTTGACTCTCACTGCGATACCGGACCTCTTTCTTTGACCAATTTGTTTGGAAGGGCTTCTGGTACCCGAAGTTGACCTGGACTTTGGCTTTCAAAATCGCTTACAATTTGCTGAAATTCATGGACCCCGGGGCTCTTCCCAAATCAAAAGAAGTCCTTCCCGAGTCGTAGGCCCAGTGGCGCTCTTCTGTTTTGCGGTGCTTCCCATGGCCACTGGAGGTCTGGGGGAAAGGTTTGTGGCTCAAACTCGTCCAACTGGCGGACCCAGAAGCCCACTGCAACAAGGATTTCGCGTTTTTTTTTTTTTTTTGCGAGAATTGGTTTGCACCAGCAGATATCTCGCCATGTTCCAGCAGAAGGTGTTTGGTGCTTGTTTCTTTGCCTGTGGTCTGTCACCCTTCGGTGCGAACGGCCCACAAGCGAAGCCCCCGCAAAATCGAGCGGGCGTCCGACGTCGTTGCGGCTCAGCGCGCTGCTCGCCCATATGTCGGGAGCAGCGCCACTTTGAGAGTCGGGGTCCCTATCATGTTTGTTCTCTCGGATTTGCTGTTTGAAGGGCATCCAGAAGCAAAGCATACTTGCGGAGGTCCTTGATTTCAGCAGATACACTGTTTGATGTACTGTCAATCCGTCAGTGAAGCGTTTGCTTTCTTTTAGCCAGCATTTGCCGGCACCAAGTCTTCAGGCCTTGCAGCTTTCCATGTCAAGAAACAGCTGTCAATCACTGGTCGGTGGTCGCACATCCAGTTTTCCATTCGCCACTGGGCGAACTCGAGCGATGTCGGTGCTCAACTTCCCAGAAGGGTACGACGGAGGTGGGCGGTTGTACACCATCCGTGTGTGCAACCTGCTCTCTGGGGACTTGCAGCAGGAGGTGAAGATGCCGGATACGGCCCGGGTGGGTGATATCCTCTTCAGCTTTAGATCTGCTCCTTGGCCTTTTCAGTGGAAGACGGAAGGCTCTGTCGGGTCGTACAATCATCCGATGTCAATCAATCATGGAAATGGAACAGGTTGTCTTAGAAGACGAGCAGACTGAAAGAACGGCCTCTTGTCCGCTTGTTACGTTGTAGCCGTAGCGCTCCCCAGCCGGATGGCGGGCATGTATGTTTCCTTCGAAGGTAAATCAAGACGGGGCCCGCAGTTTTGACATCCAGCGATACGGCCATGCACAGACTACAAGTAGAAGTCTAAGTCTAGTCGCAACGATATAAAGCAGAGAACCTTCCCCCCAAAAAAGCAAGCAAACAAGGAAGGAAGGAAGGAAGGAAGGAAGGAAGACAAACAAATAAGCAAAATAAAAAAGGAGGCTGTTTCACACACGCAGACACACCAATATAAACCGATGAGCGATTTCTGGCAGCTTATGTGCTTTTCTCAGGACTGTGCAGGCGTGGGCCAAAATTTCAATCCTCTATTTCAAGTGGCCTGAAAGCAAACTTTCCCAAAGAATCCGTTGATTCTGTTTTGAGGGAATTCTGGCTCTAAGCATGGGAGGTTGAGTCTTTGTGCACCTCCAACAACTCAAGCTCAAGTCTGACATCCTGAAAGCTGTTGTCGTTCACCTGCTGGCAAGGGAGCTTGCGCGCTTACGCCCAAAATAGCCAGCGGCGGAGGTGTTCAGTGGCTTCAACCATCAGCCGAGCATTCTGCAAATACCGACCAAGCTTTCTTCCGTTTGGTTAAGAGTATCATTATTTTCGGCTGTTGGTTTCAAAGGGAATCTATCACTACTGGATTTTTTCCAGGGGACTTAAGTCAATGGAGGCTTTGCGCTTGCCTCCCATGTTGCAATAGCAAGAACCCGATCCCCGCTTTTCGGACACTTCTCGATATTCTGTCGCGTTCTTTTGCCACAAAGCCTAGGCACATGAAGGCTAGGAGGGGTTGTACTCTTGACCGCGGCGCGGGGATAGTGATATAGAGATACTTCACTTCCCCAGTTTCTGGACCTCCTTTTGGGAAGACCATTTAAAGGACAAAAAAAAGGCAAGATGCAACCAGTTCGGAGTTGTTTGGCCAATCCATCCCTTGTGGAGAGAGAGCAAGTGAGTTGGCTGAGGAGGATGCCACGTTGCGGCGCAGCTTGCTCCTGGATGGCCAGACCTTGTCCGAGGAGGTGATGTTGTCGGAGTTTCTGCCGCCTGCGCCCTGCACCGCCCCTCGAATCAAAGGACCTGCCAGCCTGCCCGCCTGGCCCCGATTCAGGCTCGTTGAACCGGGAGCCCCGGGAGGTGAGGCTTCTGTTTTGGGTTGAGTTCGCGACAACTTTGGTGCGACAGGTACGGAATGATCGGAATGTGGGAATGAACCTTCCGAGTCCCCTGAAAGGAGACCGCCTGGATCGTTGATCTCGGGGTCCATTTCTCATCCCCGGCCTATCAGCAAGCAACGCAGGATGTGAATTGCAGAAGCCCCTTGGGGCTTGGTAAGCCTTGACTAGCTCCCCCAGTAGTGCCCTTTTACCCGTTTTTGGTGGAGGGTTCTCCTACTAATATAGACTACATAAAAAAGAAAACAACTCGTTCTAACCTCTCTTCTGGAGGACCTAGTTGAGGTTGACCATATTCCAGGTCTGGCCTCGCAGCCGAAGCAGTGAACATAAGAAATTGTCTATGAACGAGGGAGCCTCCGCAATGGTCCTGAACTCTCTAGAGGCAGCTTCCCAAAACGCGACAGTCTCAGCATGTCCTGCTGGCCTTTTTCGGTCTCTTTGAACATCAGTGACTTGCAATGGTTTCAGTTTGGTGCTCAGGATTGCCCAGTGGAATTAATCTACTTCGAACAACTGATCTGTTGAGCTACCACAGTTTCAACTTGCTGTTGGTAGAGTTCTTCATTGGTTTAGTCAAGCCCGCCCCCCAAAAAAATGCGTTTGGTCAGCCGACTCAGCAGGTCAGAAAAGATGAGGTACACCGCAATTCCCTCCCTCCAAGGCCCTCAAACAGCCGTTAGCGCCTGATTTGGCATTATGTCCTATAAACCCGTATCTTCAGGAGGATTCGGCTGCGGGTGTGGTTTGTCAGCTCCTCCAAGAGCTCCTCCGCCTGGGCCAGTTCGATTCGGCGCGCCCGAGGCGGATTTGCAGCTTCTGGTGCAGCGGCGCACTTTGCAGCACGCAGACTTCGAGTTGGACGAACACGTGGTACAGACGGTGCACATCGTGCTGGGCGGACATGCCAGGCCTGGGCTGTGCACGCAACGCGCGGGTTGTAAGGTCAAAAAGGAACACACACACACACACACAGGGCGGGGACCCTCTTTTTCCTTGAGTTCTCGCAAGGCAAGCTGCGGCAAGCTGCAGATTTACTTTGAGAGAGATGTTGGGCCCATAAAAGAGTATCGAAGGGTTCTCTAAGTGTTCCTGCTAAAAGGAGAAGACCCCAGCGGTTCCACTTCCTCAAGCCATCGCCAGGGGCAAATCGAGTAACCTTGTAGAATGATCGTAGGGCCGCAGGGTTACCCGATGTGGGCATTTAGGCTCCTTGTTTGTTTTTGGGTGATTGGGGGTAGCGGAGCTTGCCCCAGTTTTCCAAAGCAGTGGTGCCTAGATGCCATCAACCCGAAGTTCCCATGAAACCGCATGCATTTCATCAGCGCAAGATGAACCACTGAGTAAGTCCGTTATAACCGCGTTCACATGAGTCCAGACTCCAGTTGCCCCGGTTACCCTTTTAGCAAGAATCATGAAAGGGGACAGCGGGCTTGGGGCTTACCCAACAAGCTTTGGGCAGTCTTCCGAAGCCCAAGTAACCCCCCCACCTCCCCCGACATCTCACCAAGCAAGAGAATGAGGCCTTCTGAAGACTTGGTTCCCACGTCGGGAAAGAAACATCCCATGTAGGTTCTGAAGTTTGTGCATCCAAGTGCACCTTTACACCAGTTCGAAAACGTGGACTTTACGCGTTTTCTGTTTTGTTTGGTGGATGGCCTTCTCAAAACGGTTGTTCTACCAGGCTTTGCCTTCCTTGTTCCCGGCTGCCTGGCCGCCTGGTCGCCGAGCTTGTGCGTCCTTCGTTTTCGCCCAGGGTGGGAAAGACCAGCTTGGCTCTCCGCTACTGCAGGGACAAGTTTTATGAGGACTCGATTCCCAGCAACTGGGCGCTACACCTCGCATCTTCAACTCACCTCGGTCAAGTGGCGTCTCAACATGTTTTGGGTCTAGTCAAATGCGGTTCAACATTCAAGTGGATGTGTGTGTGTGTGTCAAAATAGGGGTGTCCCTGAAAATGACGGGTTTCACTTTTGGTTACCCTTGAAACCGTGAAAGTCCACCCTAAACACACACACACACACACTCACAGAGCTTGCCCTTTGCCCAGGGCTTTAGATGTTTTTTTTTGGGCCCTTAGTGCCATCTTAGTGCCAGCTTTTGATTGGGCTCAGAGCTTATCCCATAGTCGAACACCTCAAGTACAGGACATCGAGACAAATCTTGCCGGTTTCGTCCAGGTGTTTTCGATGTTCTGCTGCTCGGGTGATAGAAAGCAACCCCTTCAGGTTGCCATTGTGGCCAAAATGGGATCAATTCTGCGCAGAATTCCTTTGGTTTCCTTTCAGTTGCTTGTAGCCTTTTGACCTGAAGCTGCGTGGGTTAAGACCTCGGTTCCAGCCGGCGGGAGCCAGGGAGCGACCGCTACCAGAGTTCCTTGCGGTTTGCTTGGTACGGATCACCAGGTTCACCCAAAAGCCCTTTTCATTCACTGATTCACTGGCGGGCAAGAATATGTAGACCGGTTCACGAGGGATTCGGGGAGGTTGGCCAAAAAGATAAGTCCCTTGTGGTGCAACTTGTGCTTTTTGGGTATCTTCTGTGTAAAGCTGTTTGTTTCGATTCTCCCGGGCATATCAGAGAAGCCAACCATGTGAAGGGTGTTTTTGTATTGGGAGTCAGCAGCTTACCTGTGGAGTCTTCACCTTTGGTATCAGTTTCGCTGGTTTGGCCGCTGTCAAGCAGTTGTTCTTGCTCAGGTCGTGCTTCATTTGTTTCGGGGGGGGGGACTCTCTGTTTTGGATGTGGCCCCTGGAGACCATTGGGGGCCACCGGGATTGGGGCCCCCGCGAACCACCAAACAAGGAGTCGGTCAGCTGATTTGTGTGTAGGCCGGCAGGATTTCGTTGCAAGGTGACCTCTCTGTGATCCCGGTGGATTTTCGGGTGCAGCGCATCACCGACGACAACTGCGGGATTAAGATGCTCATCCGATGAGCAGGGTTCCCCCCCCTTGGGGTATTTTTTTTAAGGATATTTCCCCCGGCCCGTAGATGCAACCATCCAGTATAAAATGACTAGGGCGTTTCAGCGAACATGGACCGAAGACCGCAGGCCGGTATAAAATGAGTTTCCTTTAGGTGGGGCCCATGATGGTAGAGGAACATGAAGCCTGGAGAGGCATGACCCTGGCTGCCCCATCCACATGGAAGATGACTGAGTGGAAGTCCACCTTTTTGATCCTTGGGATCCATGGAGGGCGCCCATAACCTCAGGGCTCACGTCTGACATACGACTCCTGAGAGCTCGAAGCCCATTGACTCGCCGAGAATTGGAAGCTAGTCCCGCGCAACGAGGACAAAAGAACAACGCAACGCGCCCGAATGTGACTCCCCTCGGTGGGCAGATGTTTTACTGCTCGATGGTTTCAAGGATTTATGTCATGGCTGTGGGCCGGGTTTTTCATGCCCCTCCTGGTTCGCCTACGCCAGGCACAAAGAGTTCCCAATATTGGGACACCTCCAACCGAAATTCTGTCGGCGGAATGCCTGGTTTTGGACACAACCACCTGTTGTGTCCCTGCTTTGTTTTTCATTGGCCAGCTAACGCAGGTTTTCCTTGTTTGTGGAACTTCCGTTGAGCAGCTAAACGGCTGTTTACTTCTTTTTGTGTCCATTTGCTAGCTAAACCCATGATGTTTGGGACACCCAGTTGGATTTGTAGGGGTTGTCTCCTTTAGGCCGGGAATCCCTGTGCAATTTGGCAGATCACTCCCTCAGAATCCGAGTCTATTGCTCCGGCTTGATTCTTGTGAGGCTTCATTCCCGATGTGAGGAGAGACGTTAGGACCTTGAGACCCCCACCCCTCAACTCCACAGCGAAGGCGTCTCGGGCAGAACCATTCGATCGGAAGAGTTGAGAACCTTTCCTGGGGTACTTGGGCGCTCTGTTCTAGGCATGATTGGAACCTACTTATCAAGTAAACTGAACGTTCAATATTGCTTTTCGGTTTCGGATGCCTTGTTTTTCTAAATACTCCCAATTCTATTTGGTCCACCTCCATTGAACCTTTGCCTTTGTGGCGGGCTCAACAATTATTGTTGGGGTTTGGGATGGGAAAGCAGGGTGCCAGGGGAAGCCTCTCTCTTTTTGTTTCTGGGTGGGATACGAACTCATGTGGAGAGTGTAAGAACCCCTGCCTCGGGTGGCTTGGATATTCAACCCCCTATGAATTTGAGTTGGAACCCCACTCAAGCGGAGGTCATTCACCGAAGTCTGATGTCCACTCTCGGGTCGGTTGTTTGAGGATCCTGTTGTCCTTGATTTGAGCAGTCTCCAACCAACAAAAGGTCGGAACGGTCTCTTCCCTCTATTGCTTACTATTGGATCTTTGGAATTTGACTTTCTGGTTGGAACAGCTTGAGTTTCTCATTGGGCCCACAGCAACTCTCCCTCCCACCAAGTACCATGGAACCTGACGCTTCGGGATCCTGGTTTGGACCAATTCCGTTTTAAAGGGGACCATGTCCCTGTCAGGTTCCTTACTATTTGAGCCTGGTTTGGACCATTTTCGTTTTAAAGGGGACCATGTTAATTAGCTTAATTGGGTTACTTGGTGTGGCCAACGTTTTGCAGAGGGGTCAACAGCCACCGCTTAGGATGGTGCTCTGGGACGAGCCCATGGGGCAGCGCTGGTTCATGGTCCGGTCCGCGCCCTTTCGCTCCAAGCACGCGCTGAGCCATGGCCAGACGTCGGTGGGTTTTTTTGTTCCATACACCTGGGTATGGGTCAAAATTAAACCACCAGGGGACCGTAGGTTTTAGTCCGTGGTTCCATGTACCAGGGTTCCATTTTGGGTACCTATGTTTGACCCACAGCCACCTGGGGCCATTATTTTGACAGTGTCCAGTCGTTGTCAAAGTCAGAAGCTGGGGAATTGTCCCTTTTGGCAGGTGACTTTGGCTGGCAAAATAAAGGTGTCAGCAAACAACATGAGTGTTTTGCCGTTTTGAGCTTTCCAGCCTTGAGCTAATGTACATGGGTTGTTTGTTTGTTTCTGGTGTTTGCTTCATGTCAGTTTTGTGCAAACTTGTAAAACATGGATGCTCACTGTTTGCCTTTGTGTTTTCCCTGATCTCTTTGGACCAATCGTTACTTACGGCCCGGCTCCGTGAGGATCCTGGTCTTTGACGTGTGCGACCGGCGGACCTTTCGGGATCTCGGGCGGTGGCTGTCAGTGGCCAGAGATGCAGGCGCAATCAGGTCGATCGACATCCGGCCTTGCACTAACGTAGGAGCCTCTGTCATATACTGTGGATGGACGAAATCCTGCACCATTTTGAAGCCATGGCAAACCATTGTTTGTTTGCATTTACAGGCAAATCATCATTCCAGGGTTTTCTTGGCTGGTGCAGGATTTCGCCCATCCACAGTACTGTGGATGGTTCCAGGGTTTCTTAGGTGGCGCAGGATTTCGTCCATCTGTGACTTCCCCCCAATCAGTGCCAACAGTCATGATCATAAGACAATGCATGCAAACATTCAGCGCCGTATGTTACTTTGGTCAACTAACTTAGTAGGCTACAGCCAGGGTGAAAACATGGATAGCTGGGGTTAGTTAGTTCCCTCGCCATGGTCACAATCTACTTAGTGGGTTGAACATCCAAGTACTTGCCAGCACTAATGGTACATACCTCCATTCTACAGGAAGTTAGCCAAAACCCGCCTAAAAAAGGGGACATTGTCGAACTTCCTGGAAGGTCCTGTTGCCGGTGTCTTAGAGGTAAGTTCTCCTCTTCAGCTAGCTCTTGGAGCTTTACGCTTTGTGCTGCCGACTTGCACTTGCCAGAGAACTAAGGGGGTCAAACAAAGTGAGGTTAGTTTTAGCACTTGACACCGACGAGCCCAAACAAGATGCAACCCGGGGTCCCCGCACAAGGTTTGGGTTGGGACAAGCAGTAGACCTGGCCTGAGAGGTGTCTAAAAGACAAATTGGAAATTAGGCCTGGTTTTGATGATGGGTGTCCATCAGGTGGTCTTGAAAGCAAACAATCACTCCCTACGTTAATTTTCAATGGTCGAGCGTTGCTCTGGGTTCCTTCATGTTTGGGCTGTTAGTGTCACGTAAGTTTCGCTGGGCACTGGCGCCGAGCCAATTCGGAGGGCCCGTTTTCGGGTTGCTTTCAGCACGGTACCCTCAGGTCGGTAGGGGAATGAGGAGCTACTATTTCGACCCATGCCCCTCGATCTTTTTCTCTGTGGGACCTGTTTGGACTGGCTTTTGAGCTCACCGCGAAAGCCGCGGCAAAAGCTGCCAGCCAAGCCAGGCTTGGTGACGGTGGTGTTGATCGGCAACAAGAGCGATTTGGAGCCGCGGGAGGTCTCCCGGGAGGAAGGGCGCCGCTTTGCCGCGGAGGAGGGGATTATTTACTTCGAGACCTCGGCAAAGGAGGGCCTCGGCGTCGAGGACTTGGCGCGTTTTTTTTTTTTTGTTTCTCCGGGGGGAAGGGGGGGGGGGGGTATGGTGGACACTTAGGGTCTATTTTGCAACCTCCTTCTTTTGGGTACTGGTTTTTTCAGGGTCTGGTTGCAAAATTGACTCTAGGTGTCTATGGCACGGGGGGGGGGGGGAAGGGCCAGTGAGACCATGTGGTTTCGCGAAATCCAGACGCACCACGGAAATCAGAAGCTGAGCGGAATGATTGGATTTACCGGTAAACACAAGAAACAATGGTTTCCCATGGTTTCCAAGTGGTGCGAAATGAATTTTGTCCATGCGCAGTATGAACTGGGGGCTCAAGCGACGGGGTCTCAACAAAGGAACGTTTGGCTCCTTGCGGCCATCAAACTAACGTCGAGCCTGGAACATGGCGGAGTCTTAGGGTGATTGCTCCCCTCAGAAGGTGAAGATGTGTGCCTTTAAGATGGGACACCCCCAATGAACAGGACACTAGCATAGAGTTGTTCAACACCAGTTCCTGACCACCCGGAAAACTCCCCCAGAACACCAAACCCCAGACGGAAATGCGCGGAAATGGCTGGTGTATATGAAAAAAATGAAGAGAATGGGGAGCCAACTCCTGGAATAGTGGTTGGACATGTTGGAGTTGCCAGGACGTCATCAACTACACGGTCTTTGATGTGCTGCAGAAACTTGCGGCACAAGAGCCTCCCCCGCCACCTGGGACGCCGGAACCCGAAATTCATGTTTCAACTTGCCATCTCCTCTAGCCAGCCAGAGCCTAGAGGTCTCCAGAACGTGTTTGAAACAGGCTCACCTGTCTCAAGTCTTCGAACATTTGACCAGTTGCGTTCCATGTTTGGACGTGTCGGTACACGCAGGGTTTGCCCCTCTGCCGCGTTTTCTTAGAGAGGTGAGCCGAGACTCCGAATGAAGCGCGCAGGTTGAGAAAAGGCGACTCGCCTGTTGGCTTTTAAGCAAGGCGGCGAGGGTCATATGACTCAGTTATGCATGGAAAACAGGGGGCGCCAGATTCACTGCAGGACATCCCCTGTCAGAATGTGTGCAAATCCATTGATATTCATTGCCTGTTGGCTTTTTCTCCCAGAGAGCCTCATTTGACACTCCCCTTTTCCGACCTCTGCGCAACTTTATTTGGAATGCCAGACCCTCCAGTGGCACAGAGAGACCCAGGAAGGCTTCCCTTTCTGGTCACTGGAGGCCAGTATCTGGTCAGTTCAGTCGTCTTGCTTCCCCTCTGAGGTGGGGCGTACAGGCCCCGGCTCAATGAAGGGTTTCGAGGCCGACGTATTCGACAAAAAGAGAAGGACAGCGGCCGTCTGGAAGCTGCCGAGTTTCTACCAAGCCCTTTGTCTGGGTCCTTTGAGAAAGCTCCCTTGATTCTTCGCTGCAAAAGGTCCCAATTGTCAACTGGGATGGGTACGATTGGTTCCCTGACACGGGCAAGTAAACTGGCACCGAGATTTGGGGCGGGCAAGATCACATAGGACTTGGGGTCATCCTTTTTAGGGTGCCTGTTTTCAGGCGCATCCAGCTGTAAACTAGAAGCTCGCGAAGCTCGCCTGAGCTCCGGCACTTTGAGACAACTGGATGCAACATACATCAGAACGGGATGCGTGTTCTGCCATTTTTTTTTGTAGACTATCCATTTAGCACCCGCAACCCATCTTGAAGGAGAGACAGCATTGGGCTTCCCCGACTCCCAAACTCATTCTCAGACTTCAGGAACCTCTGCCAACCTTTCCTGGGCTTTGGGCGTGGGTAGGTTTCCTTCCGGTCGGATCCGCCCAATTGCTTGAGCCCCCAAGGTGCTGGATTTCTCCGTGGTTCTCTCCACAAAAACCAGCCAAGGGCACCTCAAAGACAGACACGATGGGGCCAGGCTGAGAGGCTTGGACACCTTACCCGCTTTTGGTTTCGGGTGTGTTCGGTCGACTGGTTCCTTTAGGTTGAAGACTTCAACATTACCTCGAGTGAGGTGCTCTTTCGGCCCTGGTGACCAAAGCAAACGGGTAACACACGGCTGTGATTTCCCTTATGTCAAAACCCGTGCCCGGGTCCAAACTTCTGCCCTGCCAGGGGCTTTGGAGCATTTTGGAGCCACCTTGTTTGGTGGCCAAAATTCCATGAAGCTGCTCAGAAGTGTGACGTTTGGTGACCTTCTTTGAGACCCTGGGACGGGAAATCGGCGCGCTTTCTTCGAACAGAAGCCGTGGGGGAACATGGCCCATGTTTATGCCGGGCCGTTTGAATCGACCCTTTGCTGAGCACTCCATTTTAGCGCTCAACCTTAACATGTGTCCTTTTCAGCCATGGTGAATGGAGCAGATGACAAGGTTGCCCTGTTTGCTTGCGTGCTTGCTCTGTTGATTGGTCGTCGGTCGGTCTGTCGGTGGGTGGGTGGGCGGGGGGGCGGGCGGGTGGGTCAGTTTGCTTTGCTTTCCTTTGCCCAATTCCCACCCACAGTTTGCTTTCCTTCTCCCTTTGCCCAATTCGGTGGGTGGGTTGGTACTTTCCTTTGCCCAATTTGGTCTTTGCCCATTTCCCTCTCCCCTCCCCTCCCCTCCCCTCCCCTCGGTCCACCTTCCATGTCCAGGCGCAGAACCAAGCGCTGCAGGACTCGGGGCTCCAGGCTGCCAAACTGATAAAACGGGCCAAGCCCCATTCGGGGCTCGCCTTTTGCTATCGCACAGCTGGGAGGGTTGTAATCATCCTGGGTGCATCAGGTCCCTGCATCAAGTGCCCTTTGCGCATCTTTGCGCCTTGGGGAGCCTGTTTCGGGATAATTGGGGCAGTTTAAAAGAAGCAAGGGGCTCTTGATTGGGCTCGGCTCCTCTGAAAAGTGGTGTCCGAGGTGTATGTTCTTTGGAAACAGGAGACCTTCCAAAACGGGGATGCGATGCCTGGAAAGAGCTGGCCGGTTTCTGTTCATGTTTCCAAGGACGTAGAAGAGTGTGGTTGGCAAAGCGGCAGCCCTTGTCGCAACGGGGACGCTTGCAAATCCGTTCCTGCCGCATGTTGAAGTGCCACTCGCCTCTTCGGCAAGACCGTGGCAAAGGAGAGATAAATATGTTTGTACCCCATTTACTGCTAGGGACCCCAATTTTGGTATGTGTCGAAATAGGGGACCCAATGAAATTGGCTAGAAGACTTCCCCTATCCAGGAAGAAAGCCTGCCCGTTGCTTTGGCTGCAAATCCAGTGTGGATAGAGCAACGAATGGCATTGGACAAAAAGTCCGGGGGCCTTTGTGATCTCCACCCTCCAGAAGTCCTAAAACGAAGAATGCCATCCGGGGCTCCCTTCTCGACCCCTTTTAGGGAGTTGGCTCTGCAGGCATCTTTTGTGATGCAAGGGATGGGCAACATGAATGTCCAACGCATGGCCTCAGGTGGAACAAGCCTTCGAGAGGACTTTTTGAGGCACCACAAGGTTCACACTGCAAGTAGTGGCCGCACCTGGCTGCGTGCTCGACCTTGAAAAAACAAGAACGTTTGCAACCTAAAGCAATGTCACATGGCTGCCATGGATGAAGTTCACAAGCTCCTGTGACCCGAATGCCAGCCGATCATTGATAACGTCAATGCTGCACAGTATTGAACTTCGAACCACCGATCAATGGCCGGCGCGCAAATTGATGGAAGAGCTGACTCTGAGAGGTGTCTCGCAGATCTATGAATTTCAAAGGAGACACCTCTTTGCCAAGAGTTTCCTTTGAAATTCATAGGCAAAAGGTGTGCTGCCTGAACACTTTGTCCTCCAAGTTGCAGATCAATCGGGGGGTCATTTTCTGGAGCTCCGTAACCTCTGTGAAGCCCTAGGCAAAGAAGATCACAGAGCTTCGGGACTCGTGCTCCTTCATCCACTCCCGCGTGTACTAGTCCTACACAAATCGGGTCTTGCTTGACTTTAGGAATGGAGCTTGAAGGTATTTGGTGTCCGGCTTTTTCACCCGCGGCATCGACGTCCAGCCCGTGAACTTGGTGATCAGCTCGATTTCTGCAAGGACTCGACGTACTTTCGGCGAAGCCGCATGGGGCCCTTTGCCCATGAGTGGGCAGGGGATCAATTTTGTCACCTACGGCCGGTCCAACCCCTACCGTAGAGGTTGGATTGGTCCTTGTTGGTCACACTCCCGCATCAAGAAGGAGGAGAAGGAGCTGGGCAGCGGGCTCCAGCCCATCCCCACTTCGATGCAACCGCAGATTGACACAGAAACTCGATCTGGGATGAGACTCGCCTTGGCATAGGCGAGATGAGATCGAATCCAAGAAGTCCGTGAATGAGGTCATCAACTTTGACTTCTTCAGCCAGCGCGGCTCAACGTGTACATAGTTCGAATGAAAGTTTGCACTGGGCATCGGGAGCCAAACGTCCGGTTTCGATTCTGAGGTCTAAATGTCCGACGGAGACAAAAGTGGCCGTTGGGCAGGTTGGCCCGCCATTCGCTGCAAGGTTGTGTAAGTGCGGCTCCGTGCCTTTCAGTTTCGAATTTCGAGTCCGGATCTGCGTTCTAAACAGAGAATGTGGTTGTCCTCTTGGTTTGTCTGCAAAGCCCAGAACAAAACGGGTACCCTAAAACGACACCCATGGGAACTCCTTCCTCAAAGTTCGCCAGGACCAGTTGCAGAGATTGTCCCTGGAGCTGGGCAAGGCTCTGGTTTGGCTGATCTGGGCGTGTCGGCGTGGCCTTCTTTGACTTCCATGCGTTGAACTGGCTGTGTTGGTCAAAACCGGTTTGGGATCCCATTTTGGTTGGTAGGTGAATGCACCACCCATTTTAGAACCTATTTTTGTGGTTAGATTGAATCGGATGTTCACTGGGGGTACGATTTGGCCATGGTAAATGACTTTTGATTGTGTTTCCCCCTGTTGGGTGCAACAGGAACCTATCACTACCGGAGATAGTGTTTTTTTGTCCAGGGGACTTAAGCATTTTTTCCAGGGACTGAAGCAACTGGAGGCTGAAGTTGGCCCGCTTGTGCGGGTTGGTTGCGAAGGGAATCCCAAAGGGACAACCACCCACTTTCAGGGTTCCCCCATTTATCAACACGCCAAAGCCCTGAGAAAATCCTGTACATTATCCGCAGCTGCTTGAGGTTCACTATCAGGTCAGGTTTTTTACATGACCTTGCGCGCTTTCATGTTGATTAGCTTCCGCGCTCGGGAGTTTCCAGTTGAGTGTTTGTGTTTTATTTTAGGCTCGTGGGTGTGAAGGACATGGCAGCAGGTCCCAGGGCATCGTGATTTGCGGCTCGAAGCCTCGAGGGCACGAAACATGAGAACCTCTATTTCACCCTTGGATGGTCATGGTTCAACTGGGTTACTTCCCTTATATTTATTCGCTGGAATCTACTTGGATAGTTTTTAGCATCCATGCAAGGGCTCCTTTTGTGCGTGCATTTGCTGTCAGGTCCAGGCTGGTGAGCCCGGCGATGCGGCGACTTGGATGCATGCAAGGTATAGCCTCGGAAAGTCCCAGATCCTATGGTTGTCCGGCCCTCCGAACCCCAACAAATGCGCCAGACAGAACCCTTAGTAGCCCCTACTGTGGATGGACGAAATCCTGCACCACCTAAGAAACTATGGGAAACCATTGTTTGTTGGCATTTAAAGGGGAAGCGTCATTCCAGGGTTTCTAATTTGGTGCAGAATTTCGTCCATCCACAGTGTGCAATAAGCTCCATTGGTCGCTGGCCCCTGATGGCCAGTGCTTGGTTTCCATCATTTTTTGGCAAGCTGACTTTCTCCTTATGTAGGTCCCCACTAGTGCCCTTTTACCGGTTCTTTTTGGGGGGAGGGCCGCTACTAAAATAG